ATTCAGACCATCACATCCAACTGCAAAGTATCATGCTTAAGCAGTATATTGGACCATGTAACGAGAGTATCAAGCATTGAAATCAACCCTGATAATGAATTCACATTGTAGGGGTATGTTCGAAGTTGCAATGTCTACATTTCTACAAATTGATTATTTTCACTTTGAGGTTTCCCTTTGAAGGTGCCCTTTTTTGTTGCTCCTCCACACTTTTAAATGTGCTTCACCGCCCCTGGAGAGTGGGGGATTGAGAGAGAGAGAGAGAGAAAGAGAGAGAGAGAGCGAGAGAGAGAGACTAGCGAGGGAGAGATCGAGTGAGAGAGTAAGAGAAACAGCCAAAAAATAAAGTGGGAGACAGAGACAGAGAGAGACAGAGAGAGACAGAGAGAGAAAGAGAATCTGATGAGAAAGAGATATAGAGATAGAGAGAAGACACAGAAAGAGGGGGAAGGGGGGGGGGGGGGGGGGGGGGGGAGAGAGAGAGAGGGGGGGGGGGGGGCTCAGAGGAGGACTTACTCTGGGCCAAGTCTTTTCGATCTATTTCTTGCAGACCAAGAAATAGATAGGACCAAGTTCCAGTGTCTCCTTTTGTCCAATGTTCCAGTCTTTCGAGGCACGATGGCGGGTTCTTGTCCTGGGCCTGGTCCAAAGGATGCATCGACCAGTCGAATGAGTGGGCCTTTAATGCGTCAACAAGCTCATCACATTCTGTAGAGAGCGAGTGGTTGGGGAGGGGGGGGGGTAGAAATGGAGAAAAAGGAGGGGCGCACGGAAGGCGAGAGAGAAAGTGGAGAGAGAGAGAGAGAGAGAGAGAGGGAGAGAGAGGGAGAGAGAGAGAGAGTGAGAGAGAGGGAGAGAGAGAGGGGGAGAGATTTAACAAAAAGGTTTTTTTTGTACGTCCGCTTCAATCAATATTTATTATTCAATCATCATCATTATCATCACTACCATCATAATCGTTAACACCTTCAAAATCATCAACGTCATCATCAACTCCATCATCATCATCATTAACATTATCACTACCATCATTAATTAAATCATAAACAGCATTATCACTTGCATTAGACTCTATCCCATCAACACCATATTGATCATCATTATAAATTAAGGAGGTGGGTGAAATCTAAGAATATTATCCCAAGAATTGTCGATTTCTTCTTTTGAAGAACATTATCATGAGAGTAGGACAAAGCAGAATCGGACCCAAGACTCCTGAAAGTGACGACATCAGCTTTAAGTAACAGCGTGGAATGCACTTTCAAAGATCACCCTTGACGCTATTTCACTGGAGGGCTTCAAGGGAGCACTTCCACCCAGCATCTAGACCAAGAACTAGATAGTTTATTCCTCAGCACTACATCCTGACTTATGGATCCTGCTGAGTATCGTCGTAGAAGGATAATGATTATCATCACCATCACCACCACCACCATTATAATTACCATCATTACCACTATTGTTAACGAATGTGAATCATAAACACAATTATAATCATCATAATCAACACCATTGTCATCATCAAAAACATAATAATCACTTTTGTCATCACCGTGACCATCATCGTCATCATCATCATCATCACTACCATCATGATTAAATCATAATTTATACCCCCATCGTAGAACCAATAGCAATCAACGCTATTACCATCACCATCACCACCCCCGTCATTATCACCATACCGTACGTAGTTAAAGAAATCATAAACACAATTATAATCATCATAATCAACACCATTATGCCAATCATCATAGAAAACATAATAATCACTTTTGTCATCACCGTGACCATCATCGTCATCATCATTGCCATAATCACTTCCATCAATGATTAAATCATAATTTACACCCCATCGTAGAACCCATAGCAATCAACGCTATTACCATCACCATCACCACCCCCGTCATTATCACCATAATCATCACTACCGTAGTTAAAGAAATCATGAACAGATTTATGATTTATCATTATCATAATCAACACCATTATCATCATCAAAAACATAATGACTTTCGTCATCATGACCATCATCGTCAAATCATCACCATCATCAGCATATAGGCCGTGGCATCCATCTTTATTGAAACGTCATCTCCACCATCATTACCACCAACCCATAATCATCAAAACTGATGTAGACCAACACCCATCACCATCCTTATCAACTTATCAAATTATGTTTTCTTTATCTTTTTATTGTAACAAAAATAACGACATTATCACCAGTCATATAAAAAAAACATCAGACATGACTTGTTTAAGGTAGACCCTAATGCAAAGTTTCGATTGTGAAAAATTGATTGATAATAAGTCTTTAAAATGTTGATATAAAAATCAATCAATCAATCAATCAATCGATATATTTGGATGCCCCTGTGGATGTATTATAAGCACGAGAAAATTTAGCCCTAAAACACTTCTACTTTCGAGAAAAATTGAATATAAAAATTTGAACTAAATTCATGACCCCATACCAAAACTTCTACCTTTAATACTTTCTTTTCCCCTATACCGTATAATAAGCTTACCTGTAGCCGTCAACCCTGCGGTTATTTCGATTAATTCGTGTTGATTTATCACCTCTCCAACAGAACAAGCAACCAAACGAACAATGAACAAGAAAGAAAGAAGCAATTTTACTTTTCGGGCAGCCATATTTGTAAACTTTTTGCATCAACGCTCAGGCTAAGTGCGCACGCCATGCATGCTTTTATTTTTTTGGAAACACTGATAATTATGCGCGTAGTTGTTTGCATGCAGTGGTCTGCGCAACGCGCACACGCTAATAAGTACATAAAAAAAAAAAAAAATCATCTTTATTAATTTGTTTTTCTCATTTCTTAATTCGATAAAGCGCCTTGATTTACAAACAATTGAGTTACTTGCAATAATGAATTCAAAAATATTTTCTAGGAATAATGAAATTAAATATATTTTGCCATAATATCAAATAATTCTCCGCCAAGTATTTGTATAATGTAAGGTTTCAAAAGCTGTTCTACTTGATGTTGATTGGCAATGATGTTCTCAATAAATTATTCCATCTAGTGGCAAGTTATGTACAATAATTCCTTTGAATGCTAAAAAGTTCTTATAAACCAAACTAAATTGAAATGTTTTTTTTTTTTTTTGGGGGGGGGGGGGGGGGGGGGGTAAGAGCACTTTTTAATTTCTTGTTGGTCAAATTTCTTAGCGGCGACTCAGCCAGCCAGCACTGAATAAGCGGGGAAGGGGGGTATTTTTTTGCCTAATACGTGTGAAAATATTTAGCAGCGAATAAGTGGTCGGGGGGGGGGGGGGGGGGGGGAAGGGGTAAATGGACTAAAAAAAAAAAACATTTCGCCGAAAAGAGAAGGGCAATTGTTGCATAGAAATCAACGTTTGTTATTGACGAGTTCATGAAACTTTTCTTTATGTCTTCATTCATTTTATTATTTTGTATTCATGTATTCATTTATTTATTTATTTGCTTAGTTATTTATTTGTTTTTTATTTAATTATATATTAGTTCATTTATCATTCATTTCTACATTTATGTACTTATCTAAAATTTCAACCAATCAATCTATCAATTACTCTCTCATTCATTCAATCAATTAGTCACTCATTCGTTTAATCAATTAATTAATCAATCACTTATACTTACTCATTAAATCAAGCAATCAATATGTTATTTAATCAATCAACTAATAATCTATTACTTACTCGTTAAATCAATCCATCAATTATTGATTCAATTAATCCATAACACATACCATCGATCAATGAATATATCACTTTCTCATTCGATCAATCATTCTATTACTAAATCAATCAATCAATCAACAAAATACATTTCTAATTTATCAATCAATTATTCAACCATTGATCATTCAATTAAAGGTAATACAAAGTTTGGTATAGGGTCATGTATTTGGTTCAAATGAACATATTGGATGCATATGCGATCCTACAATATTCAGTGATCGTTGTTCGGATAAAATCAAGTCTAAAGTTATGAAATTGTAAATAATAAACTCTTTGTGTTGTATAGCTCCCTCTCATGTTCAAGATATAAATTAAGCTATAAAACAATGTTTCTTGACAAAAATCTCCCAATTAGTTGTTCTCGTTCGGAAATTATATATCACAAGTACACATTCTGAGATTTTCATGGTCGCAGCTACCATTGTACGGCCGTAGGCACTATTTGAAATTTTAAATATTCAATTTTTCTCGAAAGCAGTAGTTTAGGGGCAAAATTTGATAGTGCTTATAATACATCCACAGGGGCATCCAAATATATCAAAATTGTAAAGAATCACTATCCCCCCCCCCGGAACTAAGTGTTATTTAGGGTACGCATATGCGTGTTCCCTCCTTTTGAAAAACCCACTAAGTCCGGTGTGTAAAGTCAATTTTGTGTATGTATGAACCAGACTTTGGTGCATGAAAAGCAGGCGCGGATCCAGGATTTCTTAGGGGAGGGGGCCCAACTTTTTTTTTTTTTTTGCTCCGAAAATTTGAAAATCGCGCCGGCCGAAAAGTCGCTCAGTGGGGGGGGGGGGGGGGGGGGGGGGGGGGGGGGGTAGTGAGCACATTTTTTTTTTTTTTTTTTTGCTCCCGAAAATTTGAAAAACGTGCCGGCCAAAAAATTCGCTCAGTGGGGGGGGGGGGGGGGGGGGGTAGTGAGCACATTTTTTTTTTTTGATCCTCAAAAAAAATTCAATTTGCACCCCCCCCTTGAGCGCCAGGGGGGGGGGCCCAATCCCAAAAAAAGGTAAAAATCACGTGATTTTACATGATTTTTTTCTCAAGGGGGGGGGGGGGGCCCGGGCCCCCCGGGCCCCCCCCCCTGGATCCGCCACTGATGAAAAGTACCCCTTTACCGGACATTTTGGTAACATGCATGCGGTCATTCCGACCCCGGAGTGGGGGGGGGGGGGTGGGATCCATCCTTTGATTACTCATTCGGCATTCAATCAATAAATCACTATATTACTCAATCAATTAATCAATACATTTTCAATTGATCAATCTATTTATTTCAAACAGTTCTGAAGTTACAACTCAAATATAGATATCTTCCTTAGATTGCATACCTCATAGAAACTGTTTTATACAGAACTAAACAATATAAGTTACAGAAATCACTGAATTCTAATTAGAAGTGAGCAAATTTGTTACAGTATTATAACAATATATAATACAGTGTAAACAAAAAATAAAAGTTTGTTCAAATGATTAATCCAACCTTTCTTCATCCAACTTTTCTTTGGTAGGATTTTAGGGAATGCAAATAGAATAACGTTTGCAATAACCTCTTTCTATTGATGGCCATACAATTAAAAATCATTCACATTTCCAAAATGTACAGTCTTTGCAAAAAGGTACACTGTATGTGCTTGCTCACTACAATGGTGGTCAGCAGTTTGCAGGCACACACCCTTGCCAGCTATAGAGCGTAAAAGTGGCTGGACTGTGAGACTATGCTGCCCGGATTGTCCACTGCACCCCATTGGTTTTGTACTTGTATCTGACACATCCAGAGGCTTACACAGTGGGACTCTGCTCAAGGCTTCATGCAATAGACAGGCTTACTAGTAAAACGTATTCAAATTGTATGCATACTTTTGAAACAAAGGTTGCTCTTGACAACCTGTTAGCTTGCCTGAGGCTTGCCTGACGAAACAACTGGTAAGGCATGCAGACTGGCTTCAGAGTATTGTAGCTCATTCATATATAATGGGTTAATGGAACACACACTTATTCCAAGGAAAATCATTACTGAATTAAAATATTAATCCTGTCTATTGTGATCAAGTGTCCAATTTGAGTCTGTAAGAGTAGACCACCCATAGGGGATTCTGGGTACTAAACATCATGTGCTTTAGTCCGACCACATATTAATGTAAGCTTGTGTACATTGGCATCCTTCTGATTCAGTCCATGGTCATGTGATGACCATGTGATGATCATGTGATGATCATGTGACTGACTGCTCGGGTCTCAGGTGACTCCCATCCTTTTCCCAGAATTCAATGGCTTCGTTGACGAGGACTTCTGCATGTCTAACGGCATCTGCAGTTGGAGAAAGATAACAAACAGAGTTTATAGACAATGATGAATGCGAATGACTTCATTATACAATCTGTCAACACTTGAGTTGAGGCTGTATGCTTGCATCTTTTGTACAAAGCTGTCATGAAAGGTGCCTATCCAGCCTCAGCGAGAGCAGATACATTGTATAATGACAAAATGAAGATATACATTACTTGTTTTATACAACAAAAATCCTAGATCCTTGTTGTTTGATTCTAAATTAGGAGACAATACGGTGGATACACCATCCATAGTGCCATCTAACAACACCAGTGTTTAGTCGAGGTGATGCATTATGGAAAAAGTAGTCAAAAATATTGTTATTAACCCTAGTAGATTCTGGATTCTACCCATACCTCAAGCTTTACAACAATTGTTATACAGTACATGTGTCAATATTGTTTCTGAGATTTTAGAAGAACACATGTAAAGCTTCAATCAAAAGAGGGCGCCAGATGGCCCCATCAGTATTAAAAGCCACTCTCTCGTTACTATACCAATCTGACTGTACTATCCTTTGTCGTCTGACATTAAATGCCATCGAACTAAGCTTGAAACATGATGGCAGCGGTGGTGAAAGTTTGTAAATCCATGTAGGAAAGTGTTTGTAATACACCTATAACTCTATTATGCGTCTGCATACCGTGTTATGAACTGGAATTCACCTGTTTACTTTGAGAGTCAACTCAACGTATAGTCAGCCCCACTCATGTAAGTTTGTGTAGTGTTACTTGCATGCAAAGCATTGAAATTCGAGATCTCTGTCTGAATTGTTTGCTGTGGTGTACAGCATGCCTGACACTGTGTCTCCTGAGGGTACTGAGGGTGATTTGCAAGGGACCCATTTCATAAAGCCTTCTGTCCAACCCCCTGGTCATTTCCATGCGGCTGCGGGAAATGTAGGTCTAGTTGAAGGGTGGAAAATCTGGAGACAGCAATGGGACAACTACACTATTCTCACAAACCTCTCCAAACAACCAGATCGGTACCAAACTGCACTACTACTGCACAGTGTGGGACAAGATTGTCTGTGTGTCTACAACGGCATGAAGTTTGCTAATGCCGCTGAAAGTGTGAAATGCTCTGTGATACTGGATAAGTTTGATAAACATTTCCTTGGTGAGAGCAGAGAATTCTTTGAAAGATTCAAGTTCAATCAACGCAGTCAGGAAGATGTGTGAATCTATTGAACAGTATGTGACAGCTCTGCGTACAATGAGTAAGACGTGTGGATTCTGTGACTGCATGAATGACAAATTGCTCGTTGATCGTGTTCTACTGGGAGTACGTGATGATCGTATGCGAGAACTACTCATCTCCAAATCTGATCTTGACCTCTCTACTGCCATTGATGTTGTAAAGCAGTTGAAGCGACGTCTACTCACATGAAGGCGTTGAAAAGTGAGGAAATCAACAGGGTGAATCGAAAACCTTTCCCTAAACATGCTAAAACTGGAAGTGGAAAGCAGAAGTTTGTAAAGCAGAAGCCGAAAGAGCTCAAAAAGTGCAAGTTCTGTAATAAATCACACGAAATGAAAAAGGAATGCTGCCCTGCAGGTGGGGTCAAAAGTGCAATGTGTGCCATAAGCCCAATCACTTCAAGGGATCTGCAGTGTGTACTTCCAAGAGTGTTCACCAACTCGAAGATGATGAGTACTCCTCCACTGAAAGTATCAGTGTTGTACAGATAAATACAGTAAGTCCTGAAGATGGACCAATTTTTTGCAACATGCTACTAAATGGTCGAAGAGTACAGTTCCAGTTGGACTCTGGAGCAACAGTGAGTGTTCTCCCACAGAAGTTTCTGTCTGAAGAAGATGTAGTGAGAAATGAATGCATCCATCTCCGGATGTGGAACCACTCTCCGCTACTACGTGCTGTGGGGAAAGTGCAAAGTCGTGACAAGGAATCCAGCTACTGGAAAAAAGTACAGGATTGACTATGTCATAGTTAAGGAGGATCTGACTCCACTGCTAAGCAAAACAGCTTCTGAGAAGATGCAGCTTATCACTGTTCACTACGAATCTATGGAAATAGTCCACAACATATTTCCTGAGAATGTCTGCAACCTAGCTCCTGAGAATCTTCACAAAGAGTATCCTGTGGTCTTCTCATCCTCTGTGACTGGTACTCTGCCGGGGAACGATTTTCATCTGACTGTTATGGATGATGCTACCCCTAGTGTTCGTCCTGCTAGAGTGATACCAGAATCCTTGAGAAGTATTGTGAAGGATGAACTTGATGCACTGCAGACAAGAGACCTGATTGAGGAAGTAAGTTTCCAACTGACTGGGTAAGCCAGATGGCTGTTGTACAGAAGAAATCTGGTAAAGTGCGTGTGTGCTTAGACCCTAGACCACTCAATCTCGTGCTGAAAAGAGAACATTATCCTCTGCCTGTTCTCGATGATATCCTGCCTCAACTGTCCAATGCAACGGTCTTCTCCATCTGTGATCTCAAAGATGGATATTTGCACTGTGTTCTTGACGACGACTCAAGTCTGCTAACTACCTTTGCAACACCATGGGGAAGGTATAAATGGAAACGTCTACCATTTGGCTTGAAGGTTAGCTGCGAAATCTTCCAAAAGAGACTTCATCTAGCACTGGATGGTCTTCAAGGGGTACGATGTGTGGCAGATGACATCATAAGGGGTGGGGTAACAGTGATGCTGAGCATGATACCCGACTACAGAGTCTTCTACAGAGATGTCAAACTGTTGGCATAGTGTGAACAAGGAGAAATGCCAATTTCGACTGAAGGAAATCTCGTTCCTAGGCCACATAGTATCCAACTCTGGACTGAAAGCTGATCCATCCAAGATCGATGCAATCCTGAACATGAGTTCTCCAACCTGCAAGGATGACATCCATCGCTTACGTGGCATGGTCAATTATTTGGCCAGGTATCTGCCCAAACTATCTGATGTCATGAAGCCTCTCAATGACTTAACCCACAACAACTCTGCGTGGTGGACTTGGAACTCCAACCATGACAAAGCCTTTAGGTTGCTGAAAGAGATGCTGATACAAGCTCCTGTGTTGGCGTTCTACAACCAAAGCAAGCCACTTCAAATCCAAACTGATGCCAGTGCTACAGGGTTAGTGCTGCTGTGATGCTACAGGATGGTCAACCAATAGCATATGCCAGTAGGATGCTGAGTGATCCTGAGACCAGATACTCTGTCATTGAGAAGGAGATGCTAGCAATAGTCTTTGCACTGGAAAAGTGGAATCAGTTCACTTTTGGTCGTAAGACAACAGTATATAGTGACCACAAACCACTGGAGTGCATTGTGAAGAAGGCCCTGGACAAACCTCCCAAACGCCTACAAGGAATGTTACTACGCGCCATGGCGTATGATGTTGAAGTGAAATACCTTAACGGGAAGGACAACATCTTGGCTGATGCACTAAGCCGTGCTTCTCTTCCGTATGAGAGCGGACAGCATGATCTAGAGGTGGTGAATGCTGTCAAACTCTTGTCTCTCCCTGATGACAAGATAGCTGAGATAAAGAGACAGACTACCCAAGATCCAACTCTCTCCCAGCTCAAAGACACCATACTTGATGGGTGGCCAGACAACAAGACAAAGCTTCCTTGTCACTGACTCCATACTTCAGTTTCAGAGATGAACTTTCGGTGACTGATGATCTGATTTTCAAGGGAGAACGGCTGGTAATCCCTAAGCAGATGAGGCGACAGATCAAGGAGGAGTTACACATTGGCCACAATGGAGTCGAAGGAAACTTTGAGAAGAGCCCGTGAATATGTCTATTGGCCAGGTATGAACAAGGAGATAAAGGAGTGGATCCAGACATGCGAGATCTGTCAAGAAAACTCAGTCTCTCAACCTGCCCAACCTTTGATGTCTCATCCTATCTCTGACAGGCCATGGTCAAGAATTGGAATCGATCTCTTTCATCATGATAACGAGAACTATCTCATTATGGTCTGTTACTACTCCAATTTCTTTGAGATAGAAAAGCTACAGAGGACGACTGCCCCCGCAGTTATCAAGCGACTGAAACGTCACATCGGATGCTATGGAGTGCCAGAGATCATTGTCTCAGACAATGGACCTCCTTTCTCTTCAAGGGACTTTGCTGAGTTTGCCAAAGAGATGGGAATCAAGCATAACACCATCTCACCTCACAACAGCAAGGCAAATGGCAAGGCAGAGTCTGCTGTTAAGACTGCCAAAAGACTGCTTACCAAATGCAAGGACACTGGAGATAACGTTGATCTAGCCTTACTCAACGTTCGTAATACACCAACTCAAGGTACCCAGACCAGTCCTACGCAAAGGTTCATGGGTAGACGAACACGTACACTCCTACCCACCACAACTCAGTTGTTGATGCCTGATCGTGACTCAGGACCTGATGTCGAGAAACTCAATTCAAACCAGAGACGACAGGAGAAGTATTTCAACAGAAATACAAGGAAGCTCAAGGATCTTCCACTTGGAGCAACTGTACGTGTGAAACCATTCAAGTATAGAAAGAAATGGAAGAAAGCGGTGATCCTGAAGAAATAGACGATCGATCATATGAAGTTCGCTGTGATGGTCAAACACTTCGTAGAAAACAGAGAACATCTCAGAGCGACCTCATCCACGTCAGATACACTTGATCCTATTCCCAACATGTTTAACTGGGAATGCCAGGACAACA